CAGGAATAGGTTAATAACGCTCGTACACATATCGAGCACTAGAGAACAAGTCGGGAGTGGATATATATAGCGAACAGAAAAAATAATGTAATATTCGTGTTTATTATTTCTTTTCTTACCTTTCTTTTATATATTATTCGAAATATATCTCGGAGTGTAGTAAAATACAATAAATTATTAATCATTCAAGAAAAACGGTGAAAACACTTGCAATGGAGAGAATATGTGCAGATATATGTCTGTAAAGGGGTTTAATACAGACTTCGCGTCAGAAAGTTCCATTAGATCAGACCACAACGTGTAATAAACGGGATGCGTTACAAGCGACATCTATACTGCAGCGCCACACCACTACCTCTACCGCGCGCCATCTTGGTTTCGTGAGGTTCTGCTTGACGCCAGCAATGGATTTAAGTTACGATGCGTTGTTCGAACATTTGAACGCCACTGCGTATACTAAATAGCCTAATAAAACGCGATGTGTTTCGAAACGACCCAATGCCATGACTACATCGTGAGCTCAACTTTGTAAATTCGCGACCGACCACGACACGCAGAGGCTCCTTTTCTGATACTTAACCTCCGTAATATCAGGGTTCAAATCTAGCATTAAATACTGGATGGAAGCTAACTGTATCCCAACTCTCTTTATTAGCGTAACTCTGTTACTAAACATACCTGTAAGTAAATTAGACGACAAAATAAGAATATTACACGACATTGAAATTCAAGTTTACTATTTATAATTAATGTAAGTAGTTAAATTTCCATCTGGCGTGTGAAGATATAATTTTATATTTTATTTCAGTAGACGTTTAGTACTTCATATGTATTTAGTTACACGTGTATTAATGCACTTTTTATTTTAATTTGTGTAATTTTTAAAATATCGATATTAATTTATGTGTCGGGCTATGATTCAATAAGTATCGAGGTTTATGTTTACTAATAAAGTCTTTTTCTTTTAATTATATGAAATGTATTGTTGTTCCAATGCAGAATGTTCTCAGTACGAATACTTAATACATAATGAAAGACACAATGCAAGATCGGTGTGTTTACGCAAATGCATAACAGGTGCCACCAGTCGCGTTAATAATCGGTCTTCATATAAACAAGGCGGATGTCCCATCAATGGTAGTACAATGAGAAGCGGCGGGGTGATTCTACTTTAACCCATCTGCATCCAGGCGCGGAATATTCCGCGAGTTCTACGACTTTCGCCTATCACCGAGCGCGGAAAAATCCGCGAGCTCTAAGATCGTCGTCTATCACCGAACGCGGAATAATCCGCGAGCTCTACGACTGTCGTCTATCACCGAACGCGGAATAATCCGCGAGCTCTACGACTGTCGTCTATCACCGAACGCGGAATAATCCGCGAGCTCTACGACTGTCGTCTATCACCGAACGCGGAATAATCCGCGAGCTCTACGACTGTCGTCTATCACCGAGCGCGGAATAATCCGCGAGCTGACTTTTTTCATTACCACTTGCTGAATATTCTTCATATGGCACAGATCACGTTTATTACGTTTTGTGAACATTTCATCTATATCGGTTCATTATATTCTTAACTAGTTTTACTTCTGTTGTGAAAATCCTTTTAATCGCCATTATGAGTAGGCGCTGATACGCGCGCGGTGACACGGGCTTGTCGTCAGTTGAACGTCGCTACTGTCTGAACACGGCACCTTAAGGAGAGCATGATGTAAATGGTTAAGAAACGAATCGAAAGAAATTTGATTCCAAGCTTCGTTGACGAGAAAATCGACTTTAGAATATTAATCGAATATGTTCAGATGGACCATCGGTATACCCCAACGTACTGGGTAGATATCCAAAGTCGTTTTTCTCGACAATGAAGCTTCCAATGAAAATTTTTTGTTCTTTATTTTCAATTTGTTCTTTCATGTAGAATCATCCCCTTCTTGGTTCTTCCACCGATACCGATGTATCGATGGTCCATACTTCTAAGGCGTAGATAAGTGCACAAGTACTCACTGACGATTCAAAATCGATTTTCTCGACAACGAAGAATCGAATGCAAAAATTTTATTCTTTATTTTCAATATTTTTTTTTTGTCATGTAGCCTAATCTTTAATCCCCTTCCGGATTGTACCACCGATGCTGAGAGACTCCCTGTATATTGGAATATAAAAATAGATGTCATTGTTATTAATAAAATTTATTTTCTATAATTAAATACACGTGAAATTCTATACGTGTATTTAAACATACGTGGAATATAAGAATCTCTAGTTTTAGGGTTATACTAGTTACACCCTATTTGGTATTGCGAAAGTTAAAGGGACGCAAACGCGATCGCGCTGCTTGTTATTTTACGATAATATTTTTCCAATGATACTAGACCCCTGGCACTTGAACGATTAAGGTTATGCTTGGTTTACCTGGTGCTGCTACATAGTGGAATCAGTTCATCGCTTTCTCAAGAAGTCACCAATGTTTCATTATTAGAAGGAAGTCGTGGAATAATCTGGAAATGATTTTACTCGTGAAACACCGTATTTCGTGACTTTCCTTATATTATTTTTTGTAGCCTTTGCTTGTTTATAAAAAGATTGGAAATGTGACTCGTTCCAATTGCGGGAATTATGTCAGAAATGCGATTTCAATCAACTGCTTCGATACACAAAATAAATTGCTGTGTAATTGCTTTTTCACGTAGTACTTAAATTTTGCAAAATGCTTTTTGTAATCCAAATCTTCACGAATTATTTAAAATTTCACTACACAAATTTCACAAATTATCTAAAATTTCTAAAATGCCTGGTTTTCAAACGTTTATTTATAATGTATTAATTACATTGTATTTTATATTTCTATAAAATTCGAGAAACTGTAAATATAAAAATATAATTGTGAATATATTCGAACTCACGATGATTTATAATGTATAAAAATATAAATATTTGCTCTATTGCAGACATAATTGGAATAATTGCTATAGGGATGATATTTGAACCCCTTTATACTAGGGATGATTTACCATTGACATCTCCATGGTGGATTTGGAAATGTATTTCATTCACGTATAGAGTTGAAAATCCAAGAAAATTTGAGGAAGATGAGTTCTAACCAATGTTAAAATATGAAAGCACCAAAATAGAATTGTTTAAATATATGAAAAGATATATTTCTACTTGTTGAAAAATTATAACTTCATAATTTTTATTTTATCTACGTTGTAATGATTTCTCTACCTTTCGATAGCTTTTATTGTTACAAAATTGAAGTATATTTTGTTATAAACTTTCATTACATGAACAAATAATGACAAATATTTCTTATAAGTGCATTAATTAATTTTTTAGATTTCATTAATTATAAAAAATTGCAGATTGAGAAAGTATCTAATTTTAATTAGTCAGTATATACTTACTTCGTTCACACGAAATTTGTAAGTGTTTTGTATATATTTATATTTATTTTTGAAATTTGCTGGACATAAATTTAGTTGTATGATGAATGTATAAATTTAGTTGTTTGCTGTAAAAGATTCCACACGAGCTAGAGCCATTATTATAGTGCAAGGGGTTAGTAACAATAACAGACGAATGCTACTGTCTAGCAAAAGAAATAAATTTCACTGGACTACACGAAATTATTAGAATATCTACTAGGAATAGTTGGAGCAATGTTACACGCTTTATTGTAAACAAACAGTTCAATATTTGGGAAGAAATTCTTTAAATATAACGTTACAACAAAAATGTACCCTTTCAACGAAACACGCCATCTTTCAACACACGTCCGTTGGCTACCTTCCTCGCTAGAACTTCTCATTCGGATTCATAGATGGCGCGTTGTTCGCTTTCGTTCGCTTACATTAAGCCCAGTTTTCAATATAAACAATCACTCATGCGCACTCCCGCTTGTATTTCTATTCTATTTTTTTCTTGTTTAATAAATGTTTACCATGAATGTTTACTTTTTAGTAGCATAAATCAAAACAATGGATATTTAGATACTCGATGCAATCGATCAAAGTTATAGCTGTTATGTTTTTAGGAATAGCTTTGCAGTGAAGTGATTAAGTAAGCTCTAGCTACAAAATGGTTCCCTGGAGATGTTTATAAATGACGATAATGGGTAAGGTGGAAAATAAGGTCCATAACCTAAGCTAGTTAAAAATATTATGTAAACACTTGTGGTATATTATAATTTGTAATATTGTTAATATTCAATTAGATCACGTCGATAATAGAATTATTATTAAATTAGATTGTTAGATTAGAATTTCTAGTAACATTGTTATCGAGTTATTAATTGATGTATTTGGGCGTTACAATAATTATTAGCCTTGCGATAATTGATAATAATTAATTAGATTAGATTTTTAGATTAGAATTTCTAGTAACATTGTTATCGAATTATTATTTAATATATTTGCGCGTTACAATAATTGAGCCTTGCGGTAATTGATAATAATTAATTGATTAAATTGTTATAAATCATTTTACGTTGTGGTAAGCAAACGTATTTCCGTGGCAGTCAAGATACGCGTATTATATATAGAATCCAAAAATTTGATATAAAAATGTTGTAAAATTATTAACAACGTATGAAAATACAGAATTACAATTAAAATCTTATCGAAATAAAACATAACTCGTCACCTTTTGTAATCTTTATGTGATTTTGCTTTACATTACACCTATGGAAGCATAATTTTACTATTCCTGATGATCACTTATTAAATGCGTAAATCAATTTTTGACTGATATTATTATGTAACTATCACCACGTTACAACAAAATAGCGCTCCATTAGTCTTTTCCAATTTTGACTGTTTCGCATAAAATTTCACGGTGAAAATTATGTGAATGTGTTTTGTAATACCAAATCTCAGGAACGATGAATTTTTTCACCCATAAAGAAACTATTTTCGCTATATTGCACTCTTAAAAAAAATTTTATAAATTTTACATGAAATGTTTTCATTTATGATTATAATACTTAAAATATTTTATTTCAGGTGGATAACGTCGGTGGGACCTGCATATCTGTTCCTACATTAATATAAGGTAAGATAATATGTATATAAAGCAGTGACTTATTAAATAATTAATGTATTATGGTATTAAATAAGTAAATTATTGTCGTTATGAAGCATATATGTAGGGGAAAATCCGTCAGCGTCGACCAAAGTAAATTTTTACGTTTCACTCCAGACAGTGGGGATTTTACTGGAAAGCTAAACAAATATAGTAAATATGTGTCACGTGGTTTGGTTAATGAAGCGTACGACTATTTTCACAGATTCGTGCGCTGAAAAAGTTTTTTCACAGTCAATATTTTTGTTTTACGTATGTAAATGACCTTAATTTTGCAATTTTCTATGTGCACTACCCGTTGTCGTGCAACCTAGTACTGATGTCCTATTATTGATATTAATGTTTTATTTATTTTTAAATACAATTTATGGCTAAACCAAAATAAATTAGAGGGTAGTTCTTTTAACATTTTCTCACAGATAAATGTCCCAAATTTTGGGGGGACTGATTTTCACTGATCAGACCTGAGTTTTCGTAATCTCTCAGGTACTTACTAGTCTCCACTGAGGAATTCTAACAAGTGTAACAAGTCTATTCTGATCCTTACTTCTGAATTTTTGGAAATAATAGATGTTTATTATTAAATTTCACAGGGACATTTTCTTTTTTCATTACGCATTTTGAATACGACAAATTGTTTTTTGAAATTTAAATTTCACGAATTTTATCAAGAGATATGACATCGAAACTTGGGTGTCGGTATTGTCGGAATTTGCCCTATGCAACTTAAAGTAAATATTTATTTTAACTTTTGTAACAGATAAATACGAATAACATACTTACCTTACAGTGTGTAGGGTATTGTGTTTGTAACAGGACTAATACCCTGTGCGTAGCATATAAATTTTATACGTGTATATTGCTGTTTAAGTTTTGATACAGCCTGAAAAATATTCTGATTCTATATTTATAATCTTAATTTAAATATTTTAATTTAACACATGTGTTAAGTTGTTAAATATTCGATATATCGGTGATTTAGTAATAACGAAAGAACATATGAAATATTAGTTTAACTGGAAAGATTATTCAATTAAATTCTTATAAAAATTTTGTAGTTTAACAAATAGTAATTGTACATGTTGACAATGGAAATGAAAGTCTGCAGTAATATGCAGTGCATTTGTGTCACGATTATCTTCTTTTAATAATAATTTATAGTAAATTGCTGCACGAAATAGGTGGTGTGACTGGTACAGTTAAAATCTCCGTAGTTAAAATTTCGATACATTACTAAATTTAGCCCTTTGCACTCGGGGATCTTTTCGTTATTTTTGTGGATTTCATAATTTGAGGATTTTCGGCTGTAAAACAATATTTTGTAAACGGTAAATTTGAAGTCGTATGCAAATTAAGACATAGAATTATTCTACTTCCACGTTCCAAGCATCATTTCATTATCCTAAATTTGATATATTAATTAACATCGTTCTTTAGAATTTGATTTATTAATTAACATCGTTTTTCAGAATTTGATTTATTAATTAACATCGTTTTTCAGAATTTGATTTATTAATTAACATCGTTCTTCAGAATTTGATTAAATGTCGACTATAAAGGTCGCTGCTCGAGTGGAAAGGGTTAAAGAAAATTTCTAGTCCTAGTTTTAGTTTCTAGTTTCTTTTGAATTGAATTATGCCGTTAAATTTCAAAATTTATAGTTGGTTATTTTTATGAAAAAATCTCGTTGCTTAAATAATTATATCTTCTTATTAATTCAATTCAATTAAGTTCTGATATACAATAATATATGTATTTATAACAAGTATCACTATTTTTGAACTCCTTTGGAAGAAATTAATAATTATTTGATAGATTAACCATGAATATTACTATTTTATAATGTGCATCTAAATATGATATAAATAGTGACAATTAAACTGTAATAAAAATATGCAGAAATGAATAGGTAAATATATCCTGTTGTTTCTGCCATGATAAGTGTTGAAATTAAGTTTGTTCGAAATAGTTACATATTTTCCATAACTTTACAAGCTTTACAAAATTTTACTTCATTTGGTATTTCCAGTGTCACGAAAGTATAAACACGATAATTTGTTTCAAGTTTTGATATTCCCAATTATATCCGTGGATTATGTTTGAATTTAGCCACACTTGGAGTAATTTTAGTAGATGATATGTAAACTTTTTAATATGACCGCATTGATGAAATACGTTGAAATCTGTTTAACCTACTTTTATTGATTACTGGAAATTTGCATCAGTTCTTCTCAAAAATTACATTTCCAACTTACTTTTGCAGGATGAACTACCCTTTTGATTCGTACTACGATTTTTATATCGTATTTTCTATAGGTCATATGTGCATGAAAAGGAAAAGTTTTTTCCATGTCGATATTTTATGAAATTATTAGCTTACAATTTATTTCGAACCGAAGCTGGATATTATTTCAATTTTTCTGAATAACGCTCTTTTGTACCAGAAGTTGTGTTCATAGCATAACTCTTATTTTAACTCTTTGTACTCGAGAGGCGCCTCTCAGTCGCCATTTAATCAGATTCTAAAGATGGATGTTAATTAATATTTCAAATTTACAATTACGCAACGGTGCGTGCAATATCAAAGTAAAATAATTCTACGTCGTAAATTGCATCCGATTTCTTATTTACCGTTTTAAAAATATCGTCGACTTTATGGCAGAAAGTCTTCGAATTACTATTTTTCTGTAACGAAAAATTGCCGAGTGCAAAGGGTTAACAGTACTATTTTACGTCCAGTCTGCACATTTAGGTACATACACTGCCGTATAAAAAGTCAGAGCACACCTGTACCATGTTCACCCTTTCGCTACTACTGGTGACTATAGTCACTGGCCACGAGAAGCCAATCTATACACGATTG